TTCTATGGCACAAACGTGTGACATTTGCCAATAAGCCATTTAAGGCAAGCATCTAATTCTTATAAATACATTTTCACTGAATTCTAGAAGGCAGTTTTAGCTTCAYCTCTGCAGAAATTCTACATTTTTCTAATAAGCTCATAAACAAAAACATTTTGCACCTTCGGCAGGTTTCYATTCACTTGTTTTCAAGGTCTGTAAAAAACCACTGTGGAAAGATTTTCAAAAATCAMATAGCAGCAATGCAGTCCCATCTAGGGGAAGAGAACTGCTTTTCTATAACTCTTTTTTTTTCCCCCTCTCACACTGGACAATACCGGCGGGCTGAGATTTAACCAGAGATGGGCTCCTTTTACAAGATTGCTTATATAAAGCGAAGATAACACCAGCTGGGCTCATTTGAAAGAGGACATCTTGGGAAGAGCTGACAGCGCTGCTTTTGGAATAAGACTGGAATGAAAATCTGAAATAATTAGCTCCTTCCCGTCTCGTAGGTATAACCATTAWTTTCTTGTAGAATGCATAGGATTATAATTAGAAGTAATTGTCACAGATATGTACTTTATGACCCTTTTATAAATATGTATTTTTAAATAGAGGCTGAGTGAAAATGTTGAAATCGATTGGTTTTGTTACAACTTCTGAACTGGAAAGATTTTTTTTTTTTCTTTACTTCAATGATATTTGCTACTTCTGACTTAGTCTGCTTAGTGATGTGTGTATGAGGGTTGATACTGAAGAGTGTACAAAGGGAAAAATCTGAGAACTGCAGTCCCAATCCCAYAGGCTGTATATGTTCTTCCCCTATGGGGAACAGCTTGCAGGTTTGAGGCCTGAAATGTAAATGTAAATTACTGCTATGGATGTTTTTCTAGAAACTCCACATTTAGAAGCAAAGGAGAAAATGTATAATCTATCAAAACATTATATACATCAGAATAGCCATCACCAGAGAGAGTCGTTTCAGCACTAAATTTTAAGCACATTATATATGTTCTTGCATTATATTTCTTCTAGTGATTTATATTCCTTCTTTTTTTTTCCAATTCCACTGTATCGGTTTCATTTGGTTTTATTAACTCTTTAGATTTAGACTCTGCAAGAAATCAAACTAGAATAATTAAAAGCCATCACTAAACTGAAAYAGTGAAATTGTCACAGCAGTGACCCAGTTATAGTAATGGTCTTGGAATTATTTACCATGTCGATGTACTGGGTGAYAGAATATCAGTAATGTCATTTTTTTCTCTCTGCAGAAAGGACGTGTTTAACAGTAGCCAAGAGTTCAGGACTGCACACAATGCATTGGTCTTATTTCCAAGTTTAAAGACATTTTCAGCTTTTATTTCCTGTGTCCTCAGATCATTGCAAGAAATGGTGACTCTTGCTATTTATCTGCTGGTCATCTTGGGCCGAGCTCTTGCGGGGCCTTGTATCCCAAATAAAGCAGGTAAAATAATTTCAGTCTCCTAAGATCTTCTCTTGTAGTTAAGCTGCCAAGGGCTTTTTCATTCAAAATCAAAACATTTTCCTTCAGAAAGTTAAACTGTGGATTCTGTAGAGCTAATCCTTACATTTYTTCTATTGATCTGCTTTGAGCTAGCACGGTAAAGAATGTATCATTAAAGTCCAAACTCATAAAGAATTAGGCATRTACTTAACTCTGTGCAATAACCATAGTGCGAGAGTTAATCACAAAAGCATAAAATGGCAAATAAAGCCAAAACAATTAGAAATCTTCTGTAATAGTACAGATTAGATGCTGCAGATCTTTGCTGCCCAAGCTGGGCTTTAGTCCCATGGACTRCAGTCAGATGGCCAGTGGTGATTGAATGTGCTGGGCTGAACTCCTGGACCACACTTACATTATAGCAAGAAAAACACAAAAGTCATTGAAGGTAAGGCTCTAATTGCACACTGATTACTGCCTAGAAACTGAAGTGATGTGGTGCCAGACAGACCTGTAATGCAGATTTCACTACAATTATGAAATGTGCTCTATAAACATGTTGGAATACGCCTCAATTTAGTGTTTGCATTTTAGTGCCTCAGATTAGTGGCTGACAATATTATTTTCACTGCTGTCAGATTACTGTCAGTCATTCATGGTCTATCTAAAGTATTTGGCCCTCTGGCCATTTATTTGAGTACCTTTATTTGCACAAGCAGCTTCTGTGAACTGCAGGAATTTTCATAGCTGTAAAGTTGCCAGTTATAAATCTGRGCATTAACAGAAGCAGAATCAGCCTGCATGTGCTGAAGGTTTGTTAACCAGAAAAAAAAAGTGAGTTGTTAAGGTCTCCAGTGGACTTTTCCTGAGTATTCCCTAGCAGACATGGAAAGGCTGCAAAATGAGGCTTTTAGCATAAAAATGAGAGTGTCAAGGGCTTTAAAAAAATAATTGAGTAATTCCAGGCAGTGTGCCTTTTTTACTTACTGTAGTAGTTGGAAGTCTCAATTTTCAGATCACTAAYGGTTAGTCAATATTTGCCCTTTAAATTTCCATCAGACATTTAAATTAGCTCTGCCTTTGAAAAATCTCCAATTCTGCTATCATGAAGCAATAGTCTGTACGTTATGATGTTCAACATCCATGGCTGTATTAGCAATCACCTCRTTTGGGAACACACAGCTCTGCTGTTAACAGGACTGGGAGTTTGGGTCATTTCCTACTCTGTTGGCAGTCCTAGGCTCCTCAGTTCATTTTCAGATCTTGGCTTTTGATTTGACAATTGKAAAAATTCAGTTTGTGCTGGCAGTACAGTGCCAGTCTGAGAGGAGAAAGGGCAGAATATCTATTGTGGCCAAAATCTATACACCACTASAAAAACAGTGCAAACCACCTCATCAATACATTTTTTTTTACAGAGTCAGTGGTGTTACAGAGTCAGAGGCCAGCTCTGCAGCCTAAATTAATGTGACAGATTTCAGTGCAGTCCTTTTTTTACTTCAAGTTTCTCAGCAGTGTCTCTGCTTTTCAATCAGCTATTCCAGAAAGATAAAATATTACATGAAGCTCTGCATTGATTAGAAGGCAAAGACCAAACTCTTTCAAAGAGGACAGAATTTAACAGCCTTAAGGTCAGTTTTGTGTAGCAAAAGCTGCTCTCATCAGGAGACCTTCCAGCACACACCCCTGCTCACAGAAGGTTAAGCTCAATGGAAAGTTAGTGGGCAGACCCACTTCTTTGAAAGGARATTACCACTGAATAACTCTAGATATATAATTTTCATTTCAGATGTAATTCTGGTRTACTGCTATCCTAAAACCATCATCACCAGAATTCCAGAATGTCCTTATGGATGGGAGATTAATCAGCTGGCGCTTGGAGGCATTTGCTACAATGGGGTCCACGATTCAGCAGGATATTACCAGTTCACAATYCCAGACCTGTCACCTAAAAACAAATCATACTGTGGGACACAGTCAGAGGTAAGACCATCGGGGTCAGCATTTCTGACTCTGGAAATGGCTGGGCTCCATTGATAGTCCTGTCCTCTCCAGCTTGGAGCAAACTTTAGGCACTGAAGGAAGAAGGAGGCAGACTCCAGTAAAAAGGAGAGGGAAGGAAGAAGGAGGCAAACTCCAGTAAAAAGGAGAGGGAAGAATCACACAGCTGTGCTTTGCAGTTACAGGCAAAATACTCACACACATAGTGATATTAACCTGCTATTCACTTGTAACTGTATTACACAGAAATTGTATTTAGTAAGGCACATGAACAGGCAGCACAGCACTTAGAGAGCTACCAAACCATGTTTCTGTGGGGAGGATGTTTTGACTCCAGGTAAAATCTTCATGTTTCAATGTTTCTGATGCCACACAGACTCAGTACTGCCTGCATTTCTCTGTCTCACCATCCACAGTTCAAGAATCCYCTTTATCACTTCTACAACTCCATYGTCTCCAATGACTCCTCAGTGATCGTGAAGAGCCAGCCCGTGAATTACTCATTCAGCTGCACGTACAATGCCAACTACCTGGTGAACCAGGCTGCCTTTGACCAAAGGTACCTCCTCCTCTGGGGCTGTGTCTCACCCTGTCCTCATMMMCTCTCCTCACTCACACACAGATTTRTCCTGTCCCCAGGGTGGCCACTGTCCACGTGAAGAACGGGAGTTCTGGCTCATTTGAGAGTCAGCTCGCCCTCAACTTCTACTCTGTAAGTGCTTTTTGCTACTCAGACTTTCACCTTCACCTCACAAGGGCTTCAGCCAAAGAGGTGGAAGAACACAGGGCTGCTGCTCCTGACTTGTGTGTGTCGTGGAGCACATCAATAATCTGGAACAGATAATTGCAGTGGGATTGGCAGGGGTTCTTCTTTCTGCTGATTAACAGGAATAAACTTCCAGTGAACAGAGCAGACACATGCCAAGTGTTCTTCTAATCCCTCAAAATCAGGCAGATTTTTCTGCTGAGAGGTACATTTCTAACCTGCTGACAGGTTTTATGAGAAAAAGCACAACTTGTTTGTAGTCCCACTGCAAGAGCAGCATGAATCTGCACGTACTGCTGGCCTTGCATGGCCTCGAGAGACACAGCAAAGCTCCACGAATTCCTCTTGCAGCTTTCTCCCTGTTCCTCTCACCTGGCAGATATTTCAAGTAATCCCGAGATCTTTAGGTCATGCTGGAATTTTATTGCCAACAAAATATTGTCCCTTGATATCAGGCAGATCTTTTGAAGCCTCTCCATGGCTCCACTGCTGGAGCASCCAGGTCCYWCCYGATCCTGGAATATTTTCTCCTSAAAAGCACAGTCAAAAGCACCAAAMCAGCYTCTCTATTTTAGCMCAGCTAGAAAAAGCACAACTAGGAACAGATTGTGTTAAAATTGTAAGCCAGATAAAAGGGGTATTTAGTACCAGATTAATCAATGTCAGGACTAAACATGTTACTCTTTGTATGATTCTGGTGCTAGCTTTGCAACCATTTCACCCAATAAGAAGCAATAGGGTTTAAGGTAGGCACTTCAGTGTATTTGTAACCAAAACTTTGCACCAGACGCTGCTCCATGTTCATCAGGCTGSCTTTTTTCACATGATTTCTGCTTGTCTTCATTCCTTTTCCCCAGCACGTGGCCATGTCCCAGCCCCATTCCCATTCCATACATTCATCTCCACTCTCTCACTCCCAYCAGCTTTCCTCACCACCAGAAGCAGCAGCACACTTGCTTCCCACCTGTGCTATGCTATAACACACACTACAACCCTAACAGGACCAAATTCTGTACTTATCATCATTACGAGCCAAATAGTAACAAAAAAGATTTTTAAACATTATCTTGGGTTTGCAACAGTGCTGCTACCGGTGTAGAGTTTGGAGTTTGCAGGTTGTAAGAACCCAGATTTCTGAAGYTGAATCATGCCTTGCTTTGCGTGTTACAAGTAATGTACGATGCCTTTGTCTTTGTCTTTCAAAGAATGCCAAGTTCTCAAGTATAAAGGAAGCTCCCTTCGTTGTTGAAACCTCAGAAATTGGTTCTGACATATTTGCTGGAGTGGAAGCCAAGGGCTTAAGCGACAGGTAGGCAAAGGGAGGAGGAATGAGTAATAAATTGGCAATCGGGACATTCCTTGTTGATCTGGGGTTTGTATCTCCCCAGGTTTAAAGTTGTTCTCAACAACTGCTGGGCAACTCCATCCTCAGAATATTTCTACCAGATCCACTGGCCTTTGATCACCAAGGGGTAGGTGCTGGTGGGACCCAGGGGAGGATGATGGAAAGCTGGTTGCTGGGGGACAAGGGAGCAAAGGAAAAGCAGAGCAAATGCTTTCATCAGCCTGTTACCTCGGGGAATATTTCACCACAGCCATGAGGGCTCTGACACCGCTTCTCCTCACCCCACACAGTTGTGCCACCGACTACTCCATCCTCGTGCACGAGAACGGCAAAACCAACCGCGCCACGTTCCAGTTCAACGCCTTCCGCTTCCGCAACATCCCCAAGCTGTCCAAGGTGTGGCTGCACTGTGAGACRCACATCTGCGACAGCGAGAAGTTCTCCTGTGCTGTGGTAAGGCATCACTCCCTCCCTCCCTGCTGGAGAAACACTCACATTCCCACATTCCCACCGAGGATGTCCAGCCCTGCCCGAGGGCAGCTCGGGAGCAGAGCCAGTGCCAGGGCTCTCAGCAGATGGGGCACTGCAGTGTGAACCCCAGTGGCACTGCTGGRCACCCCAACCCCTGTCATGCCACAGGCAACACTTGTTTAAATGTGTTGAGAAATAAGGGAGCCATTGGAAAAATCAGCTCCTGTCAATATCCCAGACTACAGTCCTGACWGACAGACAGCTACAGCCAAACACAAGCCAAACACAAAGAGAGAAGAAACGTGAGCTTTTTCCATTTTACGGAAGATCTCGGTGCTAAGAGCACCCTGGCCCAAAGCTCCCACTCCCCCTTCCCAAGGAAAGCTGTCCCTGCATGCTGCAGTAAGTTATTGCCCTTGCAGCCATCCTATTCAGCATAAAATACAGAAATTGTCTCTGGAGCAGGAACTGAGACAAAAGAGCGTGTTCCTGTGTCCTTAGGTGGGAGTGTGGTGCTGTTCAGGCACAAAATTTAACACAGGCAGGTGCCCACTGCTTGCCCCAACTGATGCAAGGGCCAGGCCACCAAAATATCTTTCTCTAAAGACTTCTCTCTCTGTCCTTCACCAAGCCAGAGCTTTGCTATTCTTTCTGTCATGCAATGAACAGGTAATTGCTGTAAAATTAAATTGAATTTTATTTAACCTGAAATGAAAATCCAAGATATTCCTTGGCCAACATGCTGTCATTTCAACAACATCACTCCTGGTGAACCAAGTTTTTCTTTCTAACCCCCTTCTCAGTCCAGGAACCAAATTAAGGCATCATTTTGTATTCTACAACCTCAGTGCTAAGCGAGGGGAACTGACTTATGCAAAATTTGCATGTTTGACAAAAATCCATTGCTAGAAATTCCAAGTTTCAATGGCAACAGAAAAAAACTCTTAGATTTTGTTGTTTGATCTTCAAATTTTTTTCCAGCTACAGATCAGAGTCAAAAGAAAACACAAACCTATTACGTCATATGCGCCCTGCTGGCAGTGCTGCCAAACAACTACATCATCCTTTCAGCACTGTGTGGAATTCCCACCTCGCCCTCCAGTGCAGGATAATTGCTCCATCAGGCTGACAACCCTCGAGTCCTCTTCCCACTCAAAAATGCAGCTGGTGGTCTCCTGCAATTAAGGCTGAACCAAGCTGGTGGTCTGTGCTTACAAGCAACTCATAACTAGAATTACCCCATGCTGATTTGTACTAAAAATGCCCACAGCTGGGGATCTGCAAAGGTCAGGAGATGGACAAGGACCTTTAATCTGTTGAGCACAACCTCCAATACAGACCTTGTCAGCTGTGACAGGCATCATTAGTGCTGGACATTGGCTGATCTACATGGARAGGATTTGGTGTTTCCTGTTTCTACCCAATGGGCAACAATTATCATWAGCAATAAACGACCACAGAAGCCTTCACAGAGGTCATGGGTTAAACAGAGGGAGCTCAATTTCCCCCTTCTTGACAGCTGTTCTGTTTAAGACAGGGTGGGAAAGACAGCCCACCAAAATCTTCAGAAAATAACCTGTAAAGACTCCTTAAATSTCTCCACCAAAATAATTACAGGGAGAAACAAAAAAAAAAGTCCCTAGAAATTATGCAGCAATTTCCTAGGCTGGAAACGTGAGAATTGTGCCTGGATATTTTCTTTAATAATATTTAGTTCATTTTGTTATACGTGGCTTTCTCTCTGCTCTCTCGAGACATGTGACAAACGAAGGCAGCGCTCGGAACAGACCGGAGGTGTTTTGGTGGCSGAGATCACTGTGCGCAGTAAGTGACCGCCTTTATGGGCCACTTCTCTGGGAAGCAGGGAAGCAGCAGCATAGGGGCAAGCAGGGGGAGCCAAAACCCTCTGCCAGACCCTTTTTCCCTGGGGCAGCACAAGTCTARAACAGAAGGTGTTCCTTCCAAGCTCTGGCAGAAGAGCTCAGTGAAATTCTCCTCCTTTAGCAAGAGAGTCGAAGAACCCCTTTGGCATTTATGACAAATGGTCAAACCACTCACAGTGAGCTGTGACAGCAGTGGCAGTGACAGCTCTGCTCACCTGCCTGTGACCCCAGCAGCAGCTCAGACACACTCTGGCAGGTTGCACAGCAGTGGGAGAGATGTCAGGTTTAGGAGCAGCAGCAAAGTTTTTCCTTACACACACCCACAGCACCTGCCTGTGTCACAGGGACACTTTTGCCTGTCCCTCCTGACACCCTGGCTGCACTGCCATCTGGTTTCCTCACTGGAGAACAACTGTTCCTCTGATGCCTCCTGCAGGCACCAGGGATTTCTCTCTGAGCTGGCTCACCTTTTGAAACAAGTGCTTGGAACAAATTATGTTTTCACTGGAGCCCTTTGTACTCATTGATCAACTGCATCCACACCAATCTGAAAGCCAAAATTACAAATGCATGTAGAGTAGAATTATTGTAATCCATTCTGTTGCACCATTGATGTTAGAAGAGAAAAGAACTGCGGATCCTTTTATAACTTCAGACAGTAAAGCCAAGAGGAAGAAATATTCAGAATTTCAAAATGTGACGTTTCTTGTCCTGCTTTTACAAAGCACGCTGATGCACTCTGCTCTGTTTTAAACATCATCCTGATGTAATCTTTCTCCTCCTCTTTTATACAGGCAAAGGTTTATCCAGATTTTACACACTCTCAGGTAAACAGCAAAGTATGACAATGAAAGTATTAATCCCAAACATGGATTTTGATTGTCTTTGTCAACATAAAATCCATAGCTCAAAGAAACAARCTGAAAAAGTGGTAAATTTGGCAGAAGTGGGAATATTTCTAAATCAGATTTTATTTCCCAGTGTTACATACTTTGTTTGCCTTCTTTTGGCACATCCCTCACACTGGACAATAAAATCATAGCAATAACTTCCAATACTGAACAATACTTTTTCCTATTGTCACACCCTCTTCCCAGAAAGGAACAATCATGTTCTGCTGGGTTAATAGGGGTGTCTGAAAGCATTTCTGAKTGGAAAGGGTTTAAAACACACCTTTCAAAGTCTATTTGTTAACATTTGATGTGTTGACAGAGCCACATTAGGGCATGCAGTTTTATTGAACGGGGTGGGAAGAGAAGGTGAAAGGGAGCTGACAGGGAAGTACTCACACRTAGCCTGTGTTTCTCTTGCAGATATCATCTTCCACCTACTCTTTGTGATCGGATTTTCTGCTGTTTTATTATGAAATGCAGCCCAGCTGCGTTTCTCAACTTTTCTCAATCCTGTGTGGACTTCTTTACTAAAGATGTTTATTTTACACAGGAAAAATGAAAGCCACAAAAAATCCTTGTGCACCATTTTACCAGATAAATAAAACATTCCATGAGCTTTGTGCCTCAAATACTGGAAAAATMCCAAAGCAGATTTGCTTCCCCCAAGTCCCTGCTGGCATTTTAAACTAGTGAAAACCCTTGGGTTATGTATTCTGCCAACRCCTCCTTTTATAAAGTGATCCCGATAGTACTTGTTTCTAAAAGGAATGCAGGGATGTTCAAACTCAGCACTTTTCCATGCCAAATTTACCTTCAGGGTCCCCCTTCCCTGTCAGTCTCAGTGTGGTACCAAAGTCCCCTCCAAGCCTGGCCTGGCAAAGYCCCAGTTTGTTCTGTSAAGWCTTTGAACAAAACAAAAACCAACCTAACATATCAAAGAGGGGAGAAAAGGGTKCTTTTCTTGCAGCAGTAATTAGAAGGTGCTCTGAATTAATTAGCTGACATTTCTTTCCTGACTCTTGGTGYTGTCAGCATCGATTGGTTGGATTGAGTAGAGAACATTGCAGGAGTAGGATGTCTTGCTGAGTGGACAGGCTCCGTGCTGGATGGTTACATGGTGTGGGTGCATATTGAACACATCTAAGATGGAAAACAAGATAATGAGCTTTACAMTTCCTTGAAGGCATAGCTGGTGGCAGACACAACAGGGTCCAGGTGTGAGCAGCAACAGCAAGAAAAAAATTCACTAGAAAGGGAAACCATGATTGTTAAAAAGCAGGAAATACCAGGACATGAAATAATTCCCCAGTGAGCATAATGGTAGGTTCCTTACTTCCAGTAATTACTAAAACAATAATGAAAAAAATTCCTGAAAGTGTAAGAAATATCCCTAGACCTTTCCCATGAAACTTCCAGGATCCTAAGTGAGAAAGAGGGAAGAATGACTACAGTTGTGACACTTAGTGAACACGGTGGGTGTACCTGTGTCTGCACATACTGAAGCATAAGCACATAACAGATTTTTTGCTATTGTTTGTAGAGAGGGAGCCTCCTGAATAAGTCTGTGAAGGATTTTCAGCTCCCTGTTCTTTGTGAAAGCCCATGTAATGAAAATAATGCAGTG